CATATTCTTTATTTTGTAAATGCATGCTAACTGTCTGGCCCACTTATAAAAACTTCTCCTATAAACGTTTCTAAAGCCAACCAAATATGGAATTTAGCATAGCACTCATGGACCGTCTCTGGATAACTAAGATATCCTTATTAGTACTTTAGTACTAAATATTTTACACACGAACTTCAACCGAGTTTGACTTACCCAACTGGAAGAAACATGGCACTCAAGCTTTGCTTGATACTTCCAATAAAACTGAGTACCTTACTCTTTTCTTCCGGAACCCCAGTACTTGAAGTTGTAGTTTGCCATTGCCAATAAAGCGGAGACGAAGACGCAGTCGGTGAAGATTTAGAACTTGTTGGAGAATGGGAAGAGCCAGGTGGAAGTGCGGTATAAATACGTGTTCTTCCGTACAATAATTCCTTGAGGATAGGCTTACTATCTACATTTTTCTTATCTTCGTTTGTTGTATAATTGTTATGCGAAACCACTTTCGTAAAGGGTGAAAGACGAAACCTAAAGCCGGCGAAAGACGAAAGACGAAACCCCCTGGTAAAGGGCGAAACCCCTGGTGAATTGTGAAACCCCTGACGAAAGGTGAAACCCCTGGCAAAAGGCGAAACTCCCGGCGAAGGGTAAAACCCCCGGTGAAAGACAAAACCTCTGGAAAAAGACATCTTGAAGCTCTAATAAAGACAAAAGGTAGAGCTATGTTAGTAAACAAAAGCATGTTTATTGTTAATATACAGATATAAGGTTGACGGAGGGGTAATTTGACGAATTGAGATATCTCGTGACCCAATTACTGGATTAGAATAATTTTTATATCGATATCATTCGAATCGAATGGTGAATGAATCCAGTCATTATGAACAAGATACTCAAGATATATTTCAATTCGTCAAATACACAGCTCGAGCGATTTTTATACCATTTTATTCTCTCAATACGATGAATTGATGGTATAAGAATCGTCATTGGGCCATGAGAGCCGTGAGATATAGTCTCAATTTGAGAGCATCGCTTCATTAGAGATAATTTACGAAGAAAGTTAGCAAAATCTAAAAAGATTGCACTTCACCCAGAACTTAGAAATTTTAATAAAAACAAAAATTCTGAAATTACAGTATATTTATCCAAAATTATTTTTATCCTGAAATAGATAAAAAAAATCAAATCTTCTTTAAAATAATATTATATGTATAAAATTTTTTTCTCTACGTAAAACAGATTTTCTAATTGCAAATTTTGATAATCTCAAAATATGAGTGAGAATTATGACGCAGGGACCTGACGCACTCCTAATATCTCGTGATTCACTGGCCCGAATTAGGGATAGCGCAGATCTGCGATAGCATAATCCTGTAATCTGCGCATAAATCTGATTTTACCGCTGCGATACGTAGTATATTCGAAATACTATATAGATTACCCAATCCAAAAATGAACTTGACAAGTTATTAATATAGCAGCTTGCGCATAAAATGACCGGAATAAAGATAAATATCGGGTTTACTAATTTCCCACCAGTTCCTATTGAACGATAGAAATCTTGCTTTTATTTGGACGAAACATATGTCATCAGATTTTGAAATTTTCAATTCGATAAAATAATGGCACAAATGTTAGTAATAAAACATATCGTTAAAGCAGTAAAAGTTTAATAAGAAACTTTTATTTTTGAAATGCTTCGATTCTTTTTTGTAACTTTGTTACCGAATTGTAAAGCAGGCAGAATATCAGGATCATGTGATTCTAATCGTTGGATCGCGAGTATCAATATTCAACCACAGTATTTGGTACATCTTGACGCCTTAAGCAAGTTGTTTATAGTGCAATTTTGTACTGTTTTAAAGTTTATTGCAGTATTGTCTAGATTTACCGTAGTGCACTAACCAAAGTACCTCTTTTCCGTACCCAAGTTAAAATACCCGATTTTACATGGCGTATTTTTTTAACTGAGGATAATATCCGTATTTTATTTTGCATTATATACTGTAATATAACTTATATTACAATAAAATTTCAAAGATTTTAATCAAAGTAATTTAACTAATATTTTGAAATAAGCGGTTTCAATACCGTGCAAACCAATATTATTGGTTGGTTTGTTATATTGAGTCTTCTATGTTGATATAAAGAATTAAACTCGCTTCATAAAGAATAAAAATCTCCAGAACAGCCGTTCGGTATAGAGGAAGCCGATGTATTTATAAATTAAATAAATAATTTTGACATTAAATATTCAGCTTTTTATTTTAGTTTTTGGCTTTAGCAAGTTTTACTACCTCTTGAGTTCTTTCACCAGTTACTTTTTTTAAATTTTTGGCGAAAGTCAAAACCGTGGTTTCACCTTTCGCCAATGACGAGTTTGCAATGTCAGTCTTTTGCAAGTATTACCACTTTTGTTGAACATTGACGCTGACTGCATCGAGAAGTATTTTCAAGAGAGTAGCTTGTCAAATCCTAAGCTAAGACGCGTAATTTCGTTTCCTATAAAAATTACTATGTTTCTGACCATAAATAACGTATCTTTTGAAAGTAGCGCGCACTACAAAATAGAATTGGCATCGTTGATATATTCTTGCATTAGCTAGAGTGAAAAAAATCAAAACTCAAATTTAGATCCCGATAAGGGATAAAGATCCACACGGTATCACATGAAGTATGATGATTATAAAATTATAACTTTACCAAATTTCATGATGTCATCTTCCTCGAGGAGGGAAAATTCTGGAAAATTATAAATACCCGGAGAACTGATTTCGCTCGCGAGTTCACTTATTCAGCAATATCTTTACGATCTAAAAAGATCCTGTTTCCTTCTTTTCACAAAGCTGCGTGCAATGGCAACCGATACAACAGAGACTTTCTTGGTGGAAGTGAATGCTCTGTTCACCTCTCAGGATAAAGCAAGAAGAGAACAGGCTGATATTTGGTTGCAAGCTTTTCAGAAGACGGTAATATGTTGGAAAAATCAGATCTAAACTAACAACTAAAACGCTGTTCGAATTCGTCTCAAGCATTATAAAGACTTTCAACACCAATTTCTTTTATACCGTCCTCAACTACAGTCAGAAGCTTGGGCTTTATCTGATCAAATTCTAAGATCACAAGTAACACCTGAAACGGCGCGATATTTTGCTGCCCGAACTTTTCGGCAAAAGGTATGGATCCCATACGTCTAATAACTATTGAACCTCAAGTTGACGCGCTTCTTTCTTTCCTGACCGGTAAACTTTCGCATTTTCAAATCGGTCCCTCAAATAAAATTACGAATCTCGTCTGATATTGGTCGTTAACATTAGATAACGCTCGACCTACATCAACTCGATAGTGCTGCACGAATTTCTCTTCGCGATTCGCTTTTGGGATTACTTTATCAATATCGTGAAGGTCCTCGTAAGATTATTACTCAGATATGTCTTTCTCTTGTGGCATTAGCTCTTCAAATGCCCGAGTGGCAAAATGTGTTACCTCAATTTGCAGAATTATATGGTAAAAACCCTGATACTGTAAAATGTTTGTTAGAATTTCTTAAAATTCTTCCAGAAGAAGTCAATACAAATAATCGTATACCTATATCGGTGAGAATAAAATTTATTATTCATATCTCATGACTTGTGAATCACAACTTTACATACTTCTAATTTTGTAATTATAGGATGAAGATTATAAAATAAGATCGAAGGAACTATTAACGAATAATGCCAATGAGGTTTTGCAAATGCTTTTAATTTATTTACAAAGTTCGGGTAACTAGGGTTATATTTCTCTGATTCAATAAAAAAAAAAAAAAAGTTATATTTTGTCGAGATCTAACAATTTACATATATTCAGGTGAAAATATTGATTATCAAATACAGGTTTTTGAATGCTTTGAAAGTTGGCTTTATTCTGGTGACATTGCTATCGTTAGTTTGGAAAATAATCCATTTTTAGGTCATTCATTTGATGCTTTACAATCGGATGAATTGTATGACATAGCCGTTGATGTTGTGTGTCGGATTATTCATGAAACACGAGACACCGCTGATTCAATGCCAGTGATCGAACAAATATATCCCCGTTTATTTCCTCTGAGAGAATCATTAAAAAGAGCGATTGAGGAAGAAGATGATGATAAAGTACGAGGATATTGTCGAATATTTACGCAAGCTGGTGAATCATATTTGGAGCTTATTGTCCAGCATGCCGATGCATTTCAAAGTATTGTGGAAAGTATAGCTGAGTGCGCGGCGTATCATGATACAGAAATCGTCCGAATAACCTTCTTCTTTTGGCATAGATTGGCCGATACATTATGTGAACCAAGGCATTCGGACATTCGAGAAAGATTTAAAACTATATATTTAAATTTAGTTGATGTCATGATCAAACATTTACACTACCCCAAGGATCTTTCAGCTTGGACGGCAGAAAGACGTGACGAATTCCGAGAGTTCAGACATGTGATGGGTGATGTCCTAAAAGATTGTTGTCTTATTTCAGGTTCACAAGAATGTTTAACAAAACCTTACACAATATTAGCCCATCAACTTTTGAACACAGCAAATGGAAATATGTTAGAGTGGCAACAAATTGAGGCACCACTGTTCTCATTGAGAGCAATGGGATCAGAAATACCAGAAGAAGAAGATGTTGTCTTACCTCAAATTATGCAACTTCTCCAACAGTTGCCAGATCATCCAAAAATTCGTTACGCAGCTACACTAGTCATTTCTCGATATTCTTTTTGGACGAGGAAACATTCACAATTTATTCCGTATCAATTGAATTTTATCTCATCTGGATTTGACAATGAAGAAGTATCAGCGGCTGCCTCAATGGCATTAAAATATTTATGTAAAGACTGTAGTGAGGTATTTAATACTTAATTATTTTTATTCTTTTGTATGCCTGACTTATTTATTCAACTATGTCCGGATACAAATTAGCTATTAGTTGAATATCTCCCACAGTTACATCCATTTTACCTTAATGTCACAAATAAACTTAATGGATCAGACTTGCTCGAAGTTACGGAAGCCGTGACTCATGTCGTCGCTGCTGTTCCTCCAGCAGAAATATTAAAGGCATTGCAGACATTTTGCTTACCTATCGCTCAAGGTCTACATTTACTTGCCAATAAGGGTGCTGGAGCAAACGAGAGAGACATTAGAAATGCATGTGGTAACATATTAAAATTGTAACATTTTAGTTATGTAATATGATTTTTTTATATCGCATCTAACTTTAATATTGTTTATTATTTATATATTTAAGATAAATTAGATCAATTTTCCATGATTTTACGTGTTTTTGCAGAGCGTCAGAAAAAAGATGATGCGATAGATGTTGTCTCTTTACCGGTTCACCCCTGTATATCTATTATACAAGAATTGTGGCCTGTATTTGACCTTCTTCTTATGAATTTTGGGGCAGATCCACATTTATCAGAAAGTCTTTGCAAATGTTTCAAATATTGCATAGTATATTATCCGGCGGCGTTTCGTCCATTACTTCCGGAATTCATGGATCGTTTAATTACCGTATTTGATCGAACGAGTTTGAGCTGCTATCTGTGGGTTGCCGGGAAATGTGTGCGTGAGCATTCCACAGGGGAAGGAACAGAGGCTACATTAACATTACTAACGTTTTTTGAAAGGTTGAGTGTCACTATGTTCAGATTTATTGT